AAAACCCTGGTCTGGTGCCTAAGTTTCAGGGCAGGTCGATCTTATGAGGGCCTGAAAATGGCCCTCCGTTTCAGGCTGAAAAGACTCAGGGCCTGGAGGGCCCTGTTTTAGGCTGAAACGACACAGGGCCTGTAGGCCCTTGTTTTCAGGCTTTCAAGCTGAAACGACACACGGCCTGTAGGCCCTTGTTTTCAGGCTTTCAGGCTGAAAACGACACGGGCCTGAAAATGGCCCATGCAGCCTGTTGCAGGCGCAGCATGTAACATATTGCATTGGCTGGAGTGCGTGATTGGGAAGAATAATCCAAAACCGAGTGCTTGATTCTGAGTCCTCCTGTAAATGCGTAAACCCCGTCTCTCTCCAAGCGTACCTTGGCCACCTCGATTTTGGCCTGAAACAAGACAACCAAACCGTTGTGGGAACGGGCCTATTACGGGAGGGCCCGCTGGGTCGGTAGGCTGAACCTATCTTCGGCTGCCCAAGACAAGGAATACCTCTACGCATTGAATCTTCATTAAGAAGTGCATGCACCGCCAAACAGAAAAACTCGGGTTGGGACTCGGGAGTGATTGGGAAAGATTGAGGATTGGGACATGTATCTCAGACTGACTGCTCCTCCACAGGTGCATCTTGATCTATTTGTAGTAATTTTATACGATTTTCTAGTGATTCTGTCCAACTTGTGTCATATAAATCCGGGAGATCCATATAAAAATACTACATACACTATATGGTATGTACTATGTAGTATGTGCACCATCCAAGTTCATGATCTTTTGCAATTGCTACAAATGTAACATGAACATCATCCGGTTCTCATATTATAACTATAATAGTATATAATATATATACTATACGGATCCATAGTATTTCCTTCATACTTGCGGCGGAATCACCAAGGGGGCAGCGAGTCGAGTCAGTCGACACGTGGAGGATGGGAGGGGGGAGGTGCCACGCGGAGTGAAAGGCCCTGTCGCTAACGTAACAAGGGCCAAAAAAAAAAAAAGGTGATTGCATGGTGAAGTGTTCGAAGGACAGAGACAGGAGGAGAAGGGAAGATCAAATATATATATATATCGTCAAATAGAACTGCCCGGTAAACCGTAGGCAGAGAGGGAGAAGAGGACAACAAACGAGGGGCTGTGACAAACTGTTTCGTCGGAGTTTCACCGACTCGTCAGGAGGCTATATATATATATATATATATATATAGAGAGAGAGAGAGAGAGAGAGAGATCAGGTGGCTCGGTGATTCCTCCTCGCTCCCGCTGCCTGCTCCAGCTGCCTCCTGCTGTGTGCTGCTGCCTGCTGCTGCCTCCTGTTTCTTGCTCAGGGTGGTGCTGCTGGTGACGGGCGGGCACGACCGACAACGAACGATGAAGAAAACGGACCACATGACGGCCGCCAAGGAAACAAGGCACAACTGGCGGGTCGGTGAAGTGCCGGGGTGCCCAAAAATTTTGGGGGGAGGCCTGAGTAGTTCAAAAACGAACTACTCAGATCTCCCCCCAAAAGTTTTACCGGGCCTCCGCGCGGCCCCAAAAAAAATTTTCGCGCCCACAGAGGTAATTTCACCCGGTACCCCTCCGGGCCTCCCMCCCCCCCCCGAACTTTTTTTTTTTTTTCCACGACCCCTGTTTTGGCCGATGCGCCGCATGCCGTGCGCATGCCGGCTGCACTCTGCGCCGCACGTGCCGTGACGCCGCGCACGGCATGCGCGACAAGTATGATTTCCTTCCATACGGATCTCCACCAGATTTATATGACACAGTTCTTTCCAATCCAATGTCCTCGGATACGACTGCATAGGAGCACTTGGGCTTTGGCTATTGCTACAAATGTAACATGATAGCTTATGGACATTGGATTGGAAAGAAATGGATAGGATAAAATGGATAGGACAAAACAGATAGTATAAGATGAATAGGGAAAAATGGATACGAGTAAATGGATTGGACATTAAGTTTGCTGCCATTATCGTGATGTCTAATGTCCTTAACAGAATCTGCATCTCCTTGCTTACCCTTGTTTCGCAGACGGCGGCCGGTCCCTTGCGGCCCTCGACACCAACTTACTTTGGAGCGCAATCACCTCTTGCGCCACCACCATCAACGGCGGGCTCCACCTTTTCCAGGGCGGTTCCTTGGGGGGGTGCCTTTGGAGCGGGTGTGCCTCTCAGTGCTCGTGGTCTTCGAGTCAACAGTATGACTTCAAGAGGAATGCCAACCAGACCTGGAACTCCAGGTATGCTCATAAACCACCTCCTTGCTGGTTTCTGAAAGGAAAGGGTCCCTGGTGCCAAGTAGACTGAAGTAGCACTGACCATCCTTGGCCTTTTATATTCAAAAGGCGGTGATGTTTCCAACAACTGAGTCTTGATCATTAATTATGTAGATGTTGAAGAACAGAAAGGAAGGTCAGGAACAGCATTCATAACTCAGCTAGACCAGCCATTCTTCCAGCATATGGCAAACACAACATTGAGGAGAGGGAAAGACTCTTGTCCTTCTTGTCCTTCTTCTTCTCCTCCCCCTCCTCCTTATGTTATCACACAACATTGAGGAGACGGAAAGACCCTTCTCCTTCTTCTCCTTTTTTTTTTTTTTTTTTTTTTTTTTTTTTGAAAAACAACCCGACCGGATGCTAGGTGTGCTGATATGAGCAGACACACCTAGCACCGTCGGGGAGGCTCCATCTATTGGTGGGGAGCAGCACCTGCTGGAAATCGGGTCCAGCGTCCCTTGGATACATCTTTGTAATGCAGTGTCTGTTGGGCATATGGCCATTAGAGTTGTCGCTCCAGAGCATCTTTCTTTCCCTCGGGGCTGCATATGTTACCCTCCCAATTTGTATAGCTCCTATTTCCTGCTGGCCTGGCCCCACCCAGGATGGTGTCCGCCTTGCATTTATGTCTACACTACTCCTGTTGGTAGTAGCTGAACTCCTATCCCCGGTGTGTGCAACCCCCCATTATTTTGTAGTCATTCCGAAGCCTGTTTTTGAAACCCTTTGTATCCGTTAAACCTTGTACCCTCTTCAAACCCCGTGCTTGTCACAGTAGCGAGCCTTGAAGCCCTTGACAACCGGGAAGCAGTGAGGAAGGACAAGAGTCATTTGTCAAGGACCCTGTTATGTGTGATGCGTGTGTCCTCTCACACAGCGATAACAGCAGCCCCCCCATTATTTTCAGATACAGCATTTATTCTTGAAGATCTTTTAAACCCCAGACTCCTTGAATTGTAATGAACCCAGATCGTGAGACAGTTGTCAACAATGCAAGTCCAGAAAAATGTCCATAGGCTGATAATTACAAATAGTCAAAAATCGTGATCAGACTGAATGAGGTGAGATATCATACACAGACGAAGAGGGAGGAGGGAGAAGAGACAAAGGAGAGGAAGTAAAATGCCCACTCCTGCTTCGGGCTCCCTCCTCTACTGCCAACTCATCAATCAATAGTCTGAATGAGTATCCAAGTATCCTCAATGTGCCCCGTGGCACGTCCAATCAATTCCACATCAGCATCTGGAGCAATGTCGACATGAAGACCACCAGGTACGTATCCTCGAACTCCCCACAGTCCTGATCTCCTCCTGAAGTGACAACGAACAGAACAGCAATACCGAATATGTAGTCCCAGTCACAGAACACGTGGACAGCAGCCACGTCAGCATGATACACGTGGCAGCAGCCACATCAGCGAAGGTGCATGGCAGCTGCCACGTCAGCAGACCAAGAAGACAGGAGCAAGCCGGCCACCATGCCGGAATAGCAGCACCTCGCCAAGTCACAATGCCAGCAGCGTCGAGCCAGCGTCGAAGTCAATGCGTGAAGTCAGCATCAACGCAAAAGACAGAATGCATGTCAAAGCCAGGAAGTCAACTCTTATGTAGTGTTGACGCGGGGTCTGGACCCCGGCCTCGGCCGTCCAAATCTCAATGCGAATGAGGGCTCAGATCGGCCTGAAACCGAATTCCCTCCGGCCTGGATGCTGTCTGGGTACCTGCACACAACAAGTGAGTGTATCCAACCCAGGGCCTAGGTGCAGTACCTTTGACTCTACAGTTGACTTTGACTCTTGAATTTCCTGTGTGCAGCGTGCGGTCACACAGCCACACTCGACAGACTCAGGCCTGGGCGTGTCTTGGTCACACAGCCCAGCGCAGACCTTCTCAGGTCTGCGTGGCCTGGGGCTGAGTTCTGAGCCCCAGGCTACTTCTGAACAGGGTTATTACAGAATCCTTTTCCTTTCTTAGAACCCATGCGTGCCACCTTCTGATCCTTGTACCCATAGTCCCAATGCCAGCTCCTCCTGGCCTGTTGCAGCAAGGCATGAGTTGTCGCACCAGTGTTGGTGTCTTCCCCGTTGTTATTGGCTGTTGTTCAGTCAATCCATTCAACACAGCGATGACAGCCCCCCCCCCATTACAGATAGCCTGTTGCAGCAAGGCATGAGTTGTCGCTCCAGTGTTGGTGTCTTCACTGTTGTTGTTGCCTGTTGTCCAGTCAATCCAGTCAATCCAGCAGTCGCTTTTTTTATCGTCTTGTCAATGAAGTCCATTGCGGGCCGCATAGCTGCAGGTCAAATGGTCGGGAGGGTGAGAGCGGGCGGTGGGGCAGGTGAGAGGGGGGGGAGTGGGGGCGGTAGGGGCGGTGAACTGGATGGCTGGATGGATGCATCGGGTATGACCAAGCTGGCGGGGGGGGCAGGGGGTGACTGGGCTGGCGGCACCGGGCTTAGGAGAAGGATGAAGTTGGGTTGGAGGTACGGGACTTGGAAGTCAGTAAAGGGCTTCCTCTGCCAACTGAATTCGGATATCCTCCATGGTTTCCATATGATGTGAAGAGCGGTATCAAGTTCCGAGAACAATTTGTTGGGGTCCTGCCAAATCTGCATGTAGGAGTCTCGAATGACTTCCTTGGTGGGGGGGTCTTTCTCCTCAAGGAAATCACGTTTCATGGACTTCCATGCTTCCTGGGTTTTGGTCCTGATTAGCTCTTCGATTGCTTGTTGAGCCTGCAATAGGCCAAATTGGTGGTCCTTTCTTTCAAATGAGCATCTGGCTCTCCACGCTAGCATGAGGAGATGCAGCCTTGTGTATGAGAATAGGTTGGTCGCAAACGGGGACCAGCTGGCCAGCAGGTGGCGGTTCTCTCTGAGGAGCAGGAGGCCAAGGTCCCAGGGTATGTGATACCCAGCGAGGGAGTGAAAGGCCGCATCCCACCATTGCCATAGCTGGGTGACCATTGGGCACGCCAGAAGACAATGTTCGAGGGTTGCCCTAGCCGGCGGGCGAGTGCTCCCACAGTATGCGCATTTGGGGGATAGTTTCCCTTGTTGTTCCAGGTTAGTTCTATAGACAATCCAATCGAGGGTGGTTATCCTCGCATATCTGGACCAGTCGAAGGACTGTGACAACTTAGGGTCCAATGGCGAGTCTCGAGCCCATCTGTTCTCCAATGTTTGGTTGATCAGCTGGGTTTGTCGTGGCGTTCGGTATCCTCCTTTTACTGTATAATTCCAGATGTGCATCGGTTTGGAGCCTGGCCATTCCCACTCCGCCGGATCGAATGGAAGCTTGGCTATGGGTGTGTTGGCCTCGTATGCATAGAAACCATCTTTTTGGTCCCCCACAACTCTCACTTGCATCAATCCTCCCCATTCACATGTGGTGTCTAAATTGTAATTTCTTAACAGTTTGGTGAGTGTGGCCCCGGGCGATTGGGGTTCGTGAGCTTCCAGTTCACAGGTCCCGTGGCGATTCTCTTTGACTTCAAATATGACTAGGTGAACAAGATAGTCTGAGTATCTGACCACCCAGTCATCCCGTCGAACCGTCAGCCCCTCCCTTAGGGTGAGCCTCCAGGCGATAGGGAAGGCCTCTTTTAGCAGGTCCGCCTTTTCTTCCACATTTTTTATGTGTTTTAGTTTGTGTTGCAGCTGGCTGGGGGTTGCCCAGTCCCCTCTCACCGGGTCCCACAAGTCTCCAACCATGAAAATCCCTTTCTTGGCCCAGATGATCCAAGGGGAATTGGTTGTCAGAGGGAAGGGTTGGCCTGATTCTTGTAGGATATGTGGATTGCCAAAGAGGGGTTGCCTCCATATGTCGTGCCATCTGTTCGGGGGATGCCTTTGTTGGGGACCCCTTCGTCTCCAGAGTTTGATCATGTAGGGCCAGAGCGGATTTGTCTTTATGTCCAGCTTGTGGCATGTGCCAGGTCAGCTGGGTGCGCAGGGTGCATCTGTTTCGGGGGCGAAGGGATGGTCCAGTGGTTGTTTGTGAGTCATTGGAGCGGGTGGACCGTTCCCTGTGCATCATTTTGTGGGGCAAGGTTGGCTATTTGTAGACAGGCCAGGGACTTCCAGGGGATGTCATTTCCTATGAGTAGACGGATTAGGACTTTGAAAATGAGTGCCTCAGTCTCTCTTTTGGGATCGAGGATTCCCAGTCCTCCTTTAGATCTGGGCTGTGTAAGGATGTCCCACTTCACCCTGTTGACGCAACTCTGAGCCTTAGAGCTGTTTTTCCACAGGTACGTCGTGAGGGTTTTTTTTCAATCTGATGTGTTGTTGTTTGTTCAAGGGCCACACCGCCAATTTGTACCAGATGGCCAAGACGGCATTATTGATTGCCAGGGCACGTCCCACCAGTGATATGTGCAGGCCTTCCCAATTGGCTAACCGGTCCACTGGCATGTTGACCAACATGTCCCCATGGTCTGGTGGGGGGCCCACAACTGTCAATCTCACTCCTAGTATCCTTATGGCGTCTTCTTTGCGGGCCCATGCTACAGCCGGCTCGGGTGGTGGTGGCTGTCCTTGAGGATGGAGCCACCAACCCTCAGTCTTGGAACCCCAATTAACCTTCATGTCGGCCGCAAGAGAGAAGAGGTGGATAACTTGGGTGAGAGCTTGAAGGTTGTCCGAGTCTGCACGTATGAGCACGGTGAGATCGTCTGCAAAGAGTGATGTCATTGGTATGAGGTGGTGCGGTATGTCAAGGATAGGCACTTTGCTGATAAGGGGGTGTGCTCTGATCAGCGATGCAAGGGTGTCCATGACGATAACGAAAAGCGACGGTGCAATGGGATCTCCCTGACGCACCGATCTTTGGAGGCGAATTGGTGGTGAAAGATGTCCATTAAGCATTATATTGGTCGTGGCCGATCTGTGTAGCAATTGTACCCATTGACAAAAGTCCGGGCCAAAGTTCATTTTAAGCAGACACATATCCAGAAAGTCC